GGTTAAAACCAATGATGCAAGGCCTAATCGGTTGACTGTGTTGCGTGAACTCAGCCAGTGACTTTTTTAATCATGGTGCCCCTTACCGTCGCACCTCATTTTGGTAATGCTACTTAGCCAAAACCTGAAGATGAATTGAGTCTTTGAAGGGCTGTAGTTGCGTGAATCTGTAGTAAAGGGTATGTACGTGAAACAGCTCATCCAAGCAGTTTGTATGTTTATGCCATGATTATCCCCATGGAAGTAGTAATCCTGCTTTAGTATGAGGGGTGAAGGATAATTGAATATTGGCCACACGCGTGATCCTTCCACTCTTTTCTAGCGCTGCCAAAGCGTAAATCCCAAGGCAAATTTGGGGGAAAGGCCTTTCCTCTTGCAATCCGTGTTCTGCCCATTTCCATCCTCTTCAGCACTGCAGTTGGATCGTTGCCCTTTGGCCCCTTAACGCAGGCCCGTCCCTCCACTTGCTCTCCCTGTAGCTGCATCTGCTGCCTGCAATGAAGTCATGCCTTTTGAACTTGCCAGGGAGAACGTTGGGGGTGGACATCTGAGCACAGCTGTGTCTGCCCAAGGCAGAGCCTGGCGTGATGCACTAAGGGTGTCTGCCCTGGCAAGGGCTCACTGCTCCTTGACGGGAGAGCTCCGTTTGAGGATGCTGTATTTGACGATACTGACTCATCCTTGTGGATTGGAGGAGGCCCAGAATTCTCTTTCAAGGGGCTTCACGCCATCGTGCTTCAAACTGCTTTAACTTTTCTTGCCTGGGGTGATTTGTGCCCAGCACCATCTTAGTCCATAATGGTTATTGTGAGGAAAACAAGACAGGGTATGTAGCCTTGGTCTGCTGAAGGCTGTAGCAGACCTCCTTTTCTACAGCTAGATCTAATTGTCTGGTTGTTTCATTCCTGGACACACAGCTAAAGCATTATCGGGAGATGTATCTTCTTGAATTGCCAGGAATTTGATTGTCTGGTCCCTCTTGGCAGATTGTTGTCTGAAGATCTGGTGGGCCAGTTTTTCTTCTCTTTCTCTCTCTCTCTCTATATATATATGTAAAATCTAAACGGTAACATTATAGTACCTACTGGAATGATCAGGAACAGCTTGCTCTGGTCTTCATCATTCACTGTTTCTCCATTTCTTGCTAAAACCATATTTATCTTTCCTCCAGGGCACAAAGAGGAGAACGTGATTCCTCTCTCCCCCCACTTATCCTCAGAACAATTCTGTGAGGTTATTTAAAGTGAGAAATAGCCATTGGTCAAAAGTCATCCTGGAAAAGTCATGGCTGAATGGGGATTTCAACTTTTGCCCGCCCTGTTCTAATCCAGCATACTAACTATTTAACCACACTGGCTCTCTTTTTAAAGCACACCTCTTTTAAATAGTGTCTTTAAATGAAGCACCTTTTTTCCTGTAATACGTCCCTTTGGGAACCCCGTGCCTTTCATGATGGGGACTGGAAATGGTGCCTGCTTCTCTAAAGTAGAGATCGGTGTCTGCTGGAGAAAGTAGCAGGCAAAATATTGTAAGAAGCCAAGTGGTTGTATAATTTTCTTTCTGAACTTCTGGTTTGGGTTCCTAACTTACTTGAGATAGCAGGTTTCGGCTTCGTGGCTTGCAAGGTGCTACAGCTAGATAAGGTAGCCTGTCCTATCTGGAGAGAGATGGGCGCTCCTCTGCTCCTCTTTTTCTTTTCCCATTTAAGGAGTACCTTTGAGCGTGAGATGGCGGACTCGCTAGAATGGCCACAAAAATCAGGAGGAGTCTGGTGGCACCTTTTCCGACTAACACATTTCATTAAAAGGCAAAAGCTTTTGTGAGGTGCAGCTCTCTTCATCAGATGCATGGAGTAGCTAGGCTGGTGGAGGATTTAAATTGGGGTGAGGTGGGGGAGAAAGAAGGGAAGATAGGTTGGTTATGCAGATGTAGGATAAGTACCTTATCCATTAACAATTGCAGTGCTTCAAATGGGCATCCGATGAAGAGAGCTACAGCTCCGAAAAACTTCTGCCTTTGAATAAAATTTGTTAATTGGAAAAGGCACTATCAGATCCCTTCTGATTTTTTTGTTGCCATAGATTCTCTCCTCCTACAATGTCTAGAGTAGCCACTGAGACTGTGGTTTAGGGAAGGGTCTTCCCTTCACACTGTTGTGCAGTAATGGCACAGACAGAAATGCTGGGGAGGAAGGCCCCGCTGTTCTCGGTCCTTCACTGCCCTGTTATTGTACACTGGCCCTCAGAGCCCTTGGCCTCAGAGGAAATTTTGCCTGAACACACACGCTCTTCCCTATGCTGAGAATAACAATGGTGAGCATCTCCTGTCTCCCCATCAGTCAGTTCATGTCCCAGCCGGGGGGGTTTTCCCCCTTGGTCCTACAAGATAGCACCATAACTACAGAAATGAACTTTTGTGTATTTATTTATAAATCTGTGTCTGTGTGTATGCATGCATATATGAAATCATGTATTTTTATTATCAGCCCAAATCAATCTACTGCAGGATGAAGGCCTCTTCACTGGAGGCTGTGGATTGTAATCTTCCAGGCTGGTTCAGTGTGGATTGGTCGCTAAGTGTTTTTTGATTTCCTAGTCTAGGGCTCAGAGAGAGTGACTGGTGGAAAGTCACCCAGCTGGCTTCTGTGCTTAAGGGAGGACTAGAATCTGGGTCTCGCTCCTTCTAGTCCAGCACCTTAACCCCTGGACCTCCATTTGGGTGTGTATTTAAGGTCAGCGGCACTTCTTGGATGTTTGGATGATCCTGCGTATATTTAACTCTGCAGAAATGTTGCAAGAGAGAGAGCAGGAAATCGTGGGTTGAGGCTGAGAGAGGAAGACTTCCCAAAGAGCTTTCTGCTTCAGCTTGGTGGAATTCATCAAACACATGTTGACTCCTAGTCACGATGGCCCCATCCTTTTGGCATCTAGGCTGACAGCTCCAGATCTGTTTGTCTATTTGTTATGATCCCTGTTCATTAGTCACCCCCAGTAGTTTTACCTTCAGTCTTACGAAGCTCTGGAATAAATAGCTGCATTCTTTCTCTCATATGACTTTGCAGGCACAGAGGTTGCAATTCACTTTTGCAGGAGGCTATAAATAGATGCCCATGACTGTTCCATGGGCTTCAGACTGAATTAGCAAATTACCCTCCCGCTTTTTTGTTTGATTAACCCTGTTATAACCCCTTAGCTCTTGTTTGTTTGCTTGCTTGCTTTTTAAATGTTAGGCAGCCTGATCTTTGACTTCAGTAACTGGTGTGCAGTGAGCGGACTTCCTCCCAGTCTGAATACCGGCTTAAGATCATCAGAGGGAACCAGCAACAAACAACTGATCTTGCAGAATCATGAACATTTAGAAAGTTTTGGGGGGTGGCACACGAGGGGAACAACTGGGGTAGTGTTAGGCTGCAGCCCAACGATCTATTTTCTCCTTTGTGCAAGGATCTTGCCTCAGGCCTAAATGTACAGGTTTGGCCCCCTCCCAAAACTGCCTTGGAAAGATTATGGGGGCATGATCTCAGACCATGCCCAGAGCACTGAGTGCACCATTGTTTTGTTTACACTAAGCTCAAGGTTCATGCAGGCCAGTGCTTCCCAAACGTTTATCAGAAAGTCCTTTTCGCTTACGTCAGTTTAAACGTCCCTGTTGTGATGGTGTGTTTGTGTGCTGTTACCCAAAGAAAAACCACTTTTACCCAATTTTGGGTAATTTACCCAGGTTTGGGAAGGACTGATTTAGGCTATCAAGAAGGAATTTCCTTTGGGCCAGAGTGCCCTTGTCCCCAGGGGTGTTGTGGCTATCCCCCTGGGGTCCGTCTGGACTTCAGTGCTGGGGGAGCAAGCTTCTTTTGGTGGGGTGTTCATTGGCAGCTGATAAGGCTGGTCTTCCTTTGTAGCAGGACGGACATTTCATTTCTTCCCATTAGCAAAAGCTTGAGCACTAACTGCCAGATGTGTGCACACTTATACTTTTATTTATATATCAAGGAGCACAGGAGGGCTACATAATCATTGCTCCCCTCCCCAGGGTTTTCTACCTGGAGATGTTTGTCTCTGGATGAACATCTTCAGTCTTAACAGCTATGCCACACTTCTTCTCCTCTTTTGCCTCCAAGCACACAGTGTTCTGGGTTTATGTTGCACTGCTTCCTACTGATTCCACTTCCTGCAAAAGTGACAGCAAGATAAGCTGCTCCAGTTCACGCTAGTAAAAATTAAATAGAGAATCTCCTGAGCTACAGTCAGTAACTCCTTGGATATCTCTCCTTATGAATATTCATCTTCTGTTGCTGGATAGGGATGCTGGGACCTGAAGTTTAACCTGTCTAGATTGAGGAATGTGAGGAAAAGACCCGAAGTTATACATTTCCATCTGCATTCACTTTTTAGAACACCTTAAATAATTAATTCCTCTGGTGATCTGCAGCTGAAAGAGATTTTTAAAATTCTCCTCTTCCTTTTTCTTCATGCAAAGTCCCCTTCCTTGCATTTTTATCAGATGCACCGGAGGGTGTTTTTTCTCGTAACATCCAGAATTGTGACAGCTTTTCAAGCATTAAGGGCATTTCCTGTCCTTTATCATGAATTCTCAGAACAAGCTTTTGAAATGGGCAAGCGGCACGGTCCTTATATTGTAGTGCTACAGGAAATTTTCTTCACTGCCAGGTGCTCCCCAAGAGATGTGCCCTTCCCTGTTGGCTTCTGGCATCTTTTGCCTGTGCAATGTCAAATAGATGTGACATTGGCTTAGAGGTGTGGAAGTGGGCATTAAGTAGCCTCAACTTGAAAAATAAATTTGGGAACAGCGGGTTTTGATGTGTTGGAGGCTGTGTCAGTGTGATCAGCCCAAGGTTAAAACTTATGTGTCCTTTAAGTGGAGACCACAAGGCTCCGCTGGAACAAGGCAGGTCATGTGTTGGCTCTGGACAGCAGGTGGCATTGCGTTAGAACACATCTTAATCCTTTGTGACACATTTTCCTCCCTTTAATTTCAGAATATGGCGTCTGTGAGAACCTGCGGAAGCTGGAAATCACCGGAGTATCCTGTCGAGATGTGTATGCCAAACGTAAGTCCTAAGCTTGCATTTTGCCTCTGAAAATAAATTTGCACCGCATCTTAAAAGTGAATGTTTGGGGAGGGCATGTCCACAGCCACCATTTGGCATATCAGGGAAGAGTGATGACCGTGCCTTGGGGTGCTCTTCCCAGAGAGGTCAGGATTTGAAATAGCTCTGAGTCACCTCCTCATCTCCGAATGGGCGGCAATCAGCACTCGGCCCAGCTGTTTCGCCCATGAAGAGTGTTTATGCTGAACAGGCTTAGTGGCCGGCAGCTGTTCTTCCACCAACACTTTTCCTGTCATCGTGACTCTCTCCGGCCTTGGAAAAATATGTCTGTGTGGAAGAGTCTGGAAGTATTGTCCCCTACCCATCCATTGCTTCGAATTAGATACTTGTCGGTTGACTTTTATTTGAAATTTGCACACCTACCTCAGACAAAATCTCACATAACGCTAAGTCAGGATTACTTTAACCATGGTTTATTGAACAAACCAGAGTGGTCTGATTCACACATAAAGCTACATGGTAACTTGCCACCACTCGCTGAGTTCAAACCGAACAAACCGTAGTACAGCTTAGCATTTCGTGCCGATCGTCGTAGACGTAAGCGCTTGGCAGATTGCCATTTCTGTATCTAAACTCACCTGAAGGAAGCAGGGAATTTTAAACTTGGTAGTCCAGATTGTTTCAGAGGATTTAGCAAAGTGATTCCCCAGTTTCTCCAGCAGGATCCTAGTTTTGAAGTAACCGATGTGATAGCTGGCAGTAAGAGAGCGAGCGGCGTTTTCACAGTCCCCCTGCTGTGTCTGCTCAGGTATAAACCCACGAGTGAAGTCGGGGCGTTTTATGAAAATTCTTCCTGACTACGAGCACATGGAATACAGGGATGTTTACACCTGCCGTATGTACCTTCCACTGACACATGGTTTCTGCGCTATGTACGCATGGAGTGTGCTTGCCTAACCATTTAATTACCCAAAGTTAAAACCCCGGGCTGTTCTGCGGCTGAGAACATCAGCTGTCCTGCTGTGGGATCCATTGCGGTGTGGACGCGATTCTAAGACCATCGCCCTAGAAGTGTGCATTGCTGCAGGAAAGGCTGTGGGTCTCTAGCATTGCTGCCCTGTGCTGGGAGCAGTGATGTGAACCTGGGACAGATAAGGCAGTGTGAGTTAATGTCAGCCCTATCAGGTAGACCTGACTTCAGAAACAGACGCTGTGCAGACCTAAAGCTACTTTTATTAGAACAGCTGTAGAGCAGAATCTTGCAAGTCTGAATGTGCTCCCTTCCTCCCTCTTTTATCTTCATGAGAATTGGGCGGGGGGGGGGGGGGG